CACTCCAGTCTGGGTGACAGAGTGAGACTCCAAAAAAAAAAAAAAAAAAAAAAAAAATAACAGACCATGTCAAGAACTTTTTTTCTTACTATTTTACGGTGGCTTATGGTTTAAAAAGAAATTACTAAATGCTTTAAGGCTAAATCTTAGTAACTTGTTGATATAAATCTGACTAAAACTAGTAAAACTGCCAGTTAACTTATCGTTGTCAGGATTGGGTAAAGGGTTAAGTTTACCATCTCTTGTTTTTGGCATCTTGAAGTAGAAACTGTTCCACACATTTTTAGTTGGGTTCTAAAGGTATATAAATATTTTCTACAAGGAAGATTTTGATACAGCTGTACTAGTATCTTAAGATCAGAAATGATTATTATACTAGGTCTATTTCATTATTTTACTAATTTTGCTGTTCTCTGTAACATATATTTTTACATTTCAAAATATTTACACTGGTTATCATTAGGTTACTGATCTTTTTCTTTCTTTCCTTATTTCTCTTTTTTCTCCCCTGTTACAAAGTCTCTTTATGTTGCTTAGACTGAACCTGAAATCCTGGGCACATGAGATCCTCCTGCCTCAGCCTCCTGATACTAGATCACCACTGCATCTGGCATTCTCGTTTTTGTTTTTCTGCAACTTAAAAAAAATTAAGTTCTATAACCGAACACTACAAATAATACAAAAATTTATGACGTAAAAAAAAAGCTTCTACTTTTTCCACTCATACTTCACAGAGCATTCGCTGTTAACAGCTTGATGAATATCTGCTACAATCTTTTCTTGTGACAGTACATATACACTCGTATACACATGTACAAAGATCTTTCTCTTATATAGATGGACTTAACACTATTTAGCTCATTCTGCTCCTTGGTTTTTTATTCAGCACCTCATCACCATGCACCTATTGGTGGATATTTAGATCATCAAAAAGCACCGCAATGACCACCCCTGGATACATTGCTCTGTACTAGTTTGAATGGGATGAGCTGTGTCTAAAGCAACATGCGTTTGTCACCTGGTAAAACACAGCCCACCTGTCCACCGTGAAATTAAGCCTCTGAATCCAAAAGACAGAAATAATCCCTTTGGTTCCTTACCTCTAAGTGAAGTCCATTTCCAAAGTGGAAGCAGATCTATAAAATACAATTATTTAATTGATACTTAATACAATTTGTCACTCAATTCAGTTTAAAAACACTGTTAACAAATAACCTATCACCTTGAATATGATACACATTTTTAAAAAACTTGAACCACCATCATTACCCTTTGTCAAAAGGAAACAAATTTTAATTTTCCCTTTGCCTTCCCCTGGTGCCCAGGGCCAGAGGAGAAAGCTACCCTCTCCTTGATCCGAACTGCCTCCTCCAGAAAACCACTGCTATCTTGAAAGACAAACAAAATAATCGGCCTTGTGAAATCCTAGCTAACTCCCTGATCCTTTTCTCCTTACCCTATGGTTTTAATCCCATGTTCTCCAAGACCCACTTACCTTTCTTCAAGACCATTGGAATGAGATGTCCCCTGCTCCCCCACCCCCAACTCCCGCCATCCCCAACTCCAGCCACCCCCATGGATGACACACGCATGACAGCCCATGTTCTGACTTCTCGGTTCCTCCATATCCCCAGTCCCACCAACCCTTTTCTCTGGTTTTCACAGGCACAGTTATATTTTGGACTTCCTGATGACACAGGAGTGTTCTAAATATAGTTATGTGTATTCTCTAATCTGCCTAATAAACTCCCATCCTGCTTTTTGAGTTTTGCTGCATTTTCTTTACAAAAAACAAAACAACACAGATTTTCTTTCAGTCGGAGTCTCTTTCTTTCGCCCAGGCTGGAGTGCAGTGGCACCATCACAGTCCATCACAGCCTCGACTTGCTGGGCTCAGGCGATCCTTCCACCTCAGCCTTCCAAGTAGCTGGAACTACAGGCGCACGCTACCACGCC